TTTCAAATCGCGCCTACAGGCCCTTTTTTTTTTGTTGTTGTTGCACACACGGCCTCCTTTGGGGGGGAGAAGCCTCTGCTCCGAACACTATGAAGGGATGGTCGCTGCTAGCCTCTCACACGGAAATTGTGATCCCCTGTCCTGTGCTCATCCCCCCCACCCCCTGATTACTTGCCCAGCATGCCGTTGTGGCCTTGATCTGCCATGCTTACATAACTGTGCATGTCAGCCTTCCATACTAATGGCATGTCAGCAACATGCCATGTGTCGTCAATGCTTCCAGGAAGCTGTCATAGAAAGTATGTGTCTTTACTGCGTGGACTATCCCCGGTGCCATCACCGTGTGTGTGTGTGGGTGTGGGTGTGGGTGTGTGTGTGGGTGTGTGTGTGTTTTAGATTTTCCCCACCGCAGCCCCAATTCCACCCAGGTGAATAGATTCAGAGTCAAAGCAGTCTTTGTCCTATTGCAGACAACGAGAGCATTTGAGATGTTCAACATATTAAAGCAATTTTATAGTTAGACAGTTTTTTGGTTGTCCTTGGGGTACCCCTTTCATTGTTCTTGCAGCTCCCCTTTACTGTGCCTCTTACGCACAAGGCTGTCCACGTTGATTGTGGTTGAGCGGCAGCTGCCCACATACCCGTGTGCCTTCACGGCCCACTTGCACATTATTTCAGGAGGTAGAGTAAAAGGGAAGGTATGCTCCTGTGCATCTCTTCAGAGCTTCATACTCCTGTTCATTTCACTTCAGATCTTCAGCTTATACAGTCTTTGTGTCCGTCCTTCATCTTCATACTTCCGTTCATTTCATTTCTGATCTTCATATCGTCTATACTCTTAATGATGCTCATTCGTATGTATTTGTTAGTAGTACAAGGGGAGTGGAGGGGAGGGTGGAGGGTAAGGGGTAGAAGGCGGAGTTCTCTAGGAGTATGGGGCAGGGGAGGTAGGGGCAACGGGAGGGCAGGATATAGTATGACATGCAAAGAGCAGGGAAAGGTGTATGACGGGTTTCACAGATTTCTAAATATTCACCGCTGAAGCAGACTTCTAAACTATGGCGAGTGGCCACCCCTACAGACCGGACAGGACCTGTTCGGGTGTGGGCTATGGGAGCACCACATCCAATTTTCGCAGTCACAGTTGCTGCATCGAATGGCACGGCGCAGACAGATGTCACAGGCTACGTGGCTATACACTCAAAAGAAAAGGAAGACTGTGATGTACTGTTTGTGGGACTTTCACTGACTCATCAGGAGGTAGAGAGTGTGTGCGTGTGTGTGTGTGTGTTTTGGCATGTTCGCAATACACAATTCCACAACAAAAGGCATTATTGTGCCACATCACTGCTTCATCCGAGTTTCACCAACTCATCAGGAGGCTGGGTGTTGCAAACTGCCACCACAACGACCCCTTTTCCACCCAGATGAGTATATCCAAAATTCAAAGAACTTCACCTTAGAGTCTTCTACAGCAGACAACATGAAGCACACTGACAACATTACATTGTGTTTTCCTTGTGCAGTTCTTTTCTTGGCTTTCCTTACTTTCGCAATTTGTGTGGTTTCTCCTTTTTTTTTTTTTTTGCAGGTCCCTTTTACTGCCCCACCCACATACAAGGCTTCCCACGTTGCCGTGGCTGAGTGCGAGCTGCCCACATCCCCGTGTGCCACAATGGCCCACTTGCAGACTATGCATGCATGGAGGCAGCATAAAGGGGGAGGTACATTTGTCTTCATTTGAATTATGCTCATTTTTATGCATTTAGTAGTGGTAAAGAAAGCGTGAGATCCCACTGGTGGAGCAATCGTATTGGTGTATCTTTTGGTTTCCAATCCAACAGTCACATGTGTCTACTGACTGCGGCCCCTCAATCTCTCCTCTTCTCTTCTTTGCTCTGCTCTGCTCTGCTG